TCATTTGAACAGAGCATATTTCTTACTTGGCAAGACAGTGAAATGTAAATAGCATTTGCTGAAAAATGATCTAAAGTTCTCAGGAATTTATCATTTCACAGCAACAAAAACAACAAGCAACAGGAAGGAAGGGCAAGGGATGGATATTTAACAGCACCGAGGGCGTGCGCCATGATTCATTTGCGTTTTCCCATGTAACCTGCAAAACGGCCCCTGTGCAGTAAAACACCATTCTCCCTTTACCGAGGAAGACACTGAGGTTCAGAGTGGTCGAACAATTGCATTAGGGTCCTGAGCTATTGCGATGCAAAACGGAACTCACAAGTAAGGCTCGGACCCAGAGCTGCGTTCCCGCCACCACTCGGACAGAGACCTCCGGCCAGGACAGAAGCCTCCAACAGTGTTCTCCTTTCAGACTCTGTTTTAAATGATGAGTCTTCCTCCTGGAAAGTGAGCTCCATGTCTTTACTCACAGTTTTGCATAAATTTGAGACAGTTCAAGGGATCTTCTTGAAGCCCTTCCCCGAACCCCTTAGTCAAGCCCCCTAAACTAACCCCTAAACTAACAGAATGAAAGTGGCTGTCAGCTTGGCCTGATCAGCTGTCTGGACACTTTTGTACTGATTTTCCCTATTCGATTGGAAATCCTTATGCTCACAGAATCACTCAACCTTAAGACTCACTAAAGAAAGAATTGTGGAGTCAATATCATACATTCATCTAAGCATGAATTATATAATTTTAGATTTTAGAATAAGAAAAATCTTAGGATGTCAGAGCTGGAAGGGGCCAAAGTAGAGATCAAGTCCACATGCAGTTTCATTCCACAGCTTGGACAAGTAGGGAGCATCACACTCCGAGGCTAGCAGGAGAGGCGTGGCTTGCTCAAGGCCAGTTGCTGGCTTCAAAGCCAGAGGATCAGAGTAAAGACTCAACCAATAGGAGGAAAGCCATGCAGTCTGCATGGGGCAGGAGCAACACTGGTTGAATACCTGTCATTTCATTCTCCCTATAACCCTGCAAAGCACTTTATTTTTATTTTACAAACGGGAGACAGGCTCAGACTGGTGAGGTAGCACCAAGGTCAGTCAGCTAGGGGAGCAGCAGTGACTGCGTCTGTTGCTGTATTTCTCCAATGTCATGGAGAGGGTAACTCAGAGAGTAAGAGCCTGGTGCTTTTCCAGGGAGAAAAACTAAATCGACAGACACATCCATTCTGGTGGGTGGGCAGGTGAGCACTGTCAGGGGCCTGGGTGCAATATCCCTCAGGATTCCCTACCTCCCCAGCCCTTCCCTGATCTTACATGCAGCCAGCACCCTCTGGATAAGTAATCTGGTGCCTACATACCCTGCTGCTGGGAAGAGGGTACTCTGTATGACAGACATGAAAAAATAAACCACAGGAACTGAGCTATCCCCTGCACTGTGTGAACCAGTTGGTGTTCTGAGGTCAAGGCCCTTAACTGTGGTTATTTACCAAGGCCCTTTGCCCACGAACCCTACCAACATGGCCACTCGCCTCTTGTTCTAACAGCCCTGACTACCTTCTTTAACATAAATACAGGCCCTTGTTCACAGTCACATAAATCCTTTCAATGTTTTAACTAATAGCCATTAAACAGTTAAAGCTTACAATGCACACTCATAAACATTGTTTTATTTCACCTCATTGTAACTTAGTGAGGTTAAGTATTATTATGACCTGTCACAGGTTAGGACACTGAGGCCTGCTGAGGTTATATAACCCGCCCAAGGTGACGTACCTAGTGGCTGAGCCAGGATTTGTCTGAATTCACTGTATTCTCTTTGAATAACTCCTCACATTTTCATGAGTATCCCTATTTACTTCCCACAGCAGAAGTTGGAAAAGGGAGAGGTCCTTGGCCCCTTCGTGGAGATGCTGACGTTCACCTTAGCAAGGTTACAGGAATTGCTGAAGGACAGTCCCTGGGATGACATTGGCGCTGTCACCAGGATCTAGGTCCCCTGACTCCAGTCTGGAGGACACTTCCTCCCAGACCATATTGCCATTCCCACCAGACCATGTCATCTTTTTTTCTGATTGGGACTCGGAGCCGGCAGCCAGCAAAGATCACAATCTGTCTGCCTGAAGTCTCCCTCTGTGGTGAGATGAGGGTTTTAAAGAGTATATTTCAAACAGGAACCAGGTTCAATCATACTCGTGTGTTTTCTGTTGGCCTGAACCTCCCTGGTGCAGCTCCAGGCTGCTCTTCCCAGCCCTGGATAACAGAACAAGGTGGTGGCTCTAACAGTGTCCCACTCAGTTCATATGCATCTCACTATTCACCCTGAACTCCTTCCAGTCACTACTAGCTCCATTTCCCCACTGAAACCCCAGAAATGGCTTACCAAGTCTTCTCAGTTCCACCTCCTAAATACTCTACAGCACCACTGGAATGTAGGCCTGAATCAAAACAGCTGGATTATCAAAACAGTTTCCTAATGCATGTCCCTGACTGGTCTTGGCCCCCTCCAATCTATCCTTCCCACTGTAGCCAGGGAGGCTTTCCACCATGATTGAAAACCCTTCTACTGTTCTCCATTGACTTCATGTCCAAGTTGCTCTTCTAGTCTCATCTCTTGCATCTGAAGAGTGACTTCAGCCCCACTGAGCCACTCCTGCAGCACATCTCCCTCCCCTCTCTGTCTTCAATGTCCTCCCTCTGATTACCCACCTCAGTCCAAGCAGGCTAATTTCCACTCAATCTTAAAAACTCAGCTTACGTATCACTTCTACTGGGAAGCCTTCCCTGGGAGGTCGTGTAGAAACATTTTTGGTTTTAGTATGGTCACTGTTATATCCCCTCTGCCTAGAATGCTACCTTGCTTATGGTAGCTACTCAATACACACTGACTAATAAGAGTTCCCATGGCCCTGTGGGATCCTTCCAGCATAGAACTTACTATACACACTAAAATTGCCCCTGCCCTCTTCTCTCTCCCCAAGTGGACGGAAAGCTCTGTGAGCAGGAACTATGCCTTCTCATCCAGTGTTTTAGCCTGTGTGTCCAGTATGATTCCTGCATGTACTAACAGTGTGTTCACTTGGGAGGAACACAGACTGGGCACTGGGGGAAGAGAACTGTGGCCTGGGCTAAGGAGGACAGAATTCTATTAAGAAATACATTTACTAATGTACTTGAAAAGTAACTAAATAAAATTTAATATTAAAAAAAAAAGAAATACATTTACTTTCAACCCAAAAGCACATCAGAGGTGCTGAGAAAGGATGGGAGAACCTCAAATTTGATATCAGAGACCAACCACAAATCAAGGGCAGGCCTCCTGTGGACAATGCATCTCACTGTGAATAGGGGTTGCAGAATCCCTTTTGGTGCATGTGTTCAAAATCTACCAGGCAACTCCCTCTACCTTCTTTGCCATAATATCTTGGTAGAACAAAGCAGGTGAGTCTGGGATGCAACCTATGCATGTATTGGAGAAGTTAGTGATGCCATGGGCCACACATTATCAAGTGCATGTGTTTGGGGGGCGGGGGACAGCGTGGTACATAATAGATGGCCAGGACTTTGGAAACCAAGGGTCCTCTGGCTCAGAGCAGAGGTCTCCTGTCTCTTGGCCTTACTGAGCCAGGGAGTGATTAAAGCAGACTTCAAGATGACTGCCTCAGTCTGGGTGACTGCATACAGGAAGGGGTCATTGGTTCTCATTCTAATCTCTCCAGTGTTCTGCTGGCTCTGAGACATTGCTTTAATGCCTGGCCTACCTACTATTCACCCTGCCCTCTGGGGCTCTCACCCGCCTCCCATGATCCCAGAGAGGTAACTGGACCCCTCTCCCCTGCCCCAAGAACCACTAAGCTGCAACTGACTGGGTGAACTACTCCTCAGATACATCACAAATAGAAAGGATATTTTCCTGCACAGACTATGGTAGAAACTCCATAAACATTCACCAAAGGTTGAATGAAGGCTAAAAAGAACACTTCCACTTTGGGGGGAGAGAGTTTGCATATATACAGAATTAATTTCATTCTTCTCGTTTTCCTCCTTTAGCTATAATTCTTCCACTAAAACAACTAAGTGCTAGGAAAGGAGAAATGGGTCAATCCAAAAACAAAAGGGTAAAAGAAAACAGAAACTGTCACAGTCTGTCACAACCCTTATGCTGTGACCTTGATATCAAAGTCAACACTCAGGAAGCTGGCATTGCCCAATAATCCCTTAAAAAAAACCAAGCGAGCTGTAAAGTAACCTCTAATTTCATCATGACATGCTTGGGGGTTTTTGGAGAAAAAGGCAATTTGGCAAAGGAAATGCAAAGGCAGAAAGATTTGCAGAGAGGAGAGGAGAGGCAGGGAAGACGGAAGGGAGGTAGAGTGAAAAGAGAGGAAAGGAGGCTGAGAGTAAGAGGGAAGACAGAGGGCCAGGAGGAAAGGGGACATGAGAATTAGGGAAAACACACACAAAACAGACGTGCAGGGCAAGAGAGAAGGAGAGGGGACAAGGGGAAAAAACAGTAAAAGAAAAAATAAAGAGCAGAAAGAAAAGAAAGCAAGGGAACAAAAAGCTGGAAGCTAAAAGAGAAAAAAACAGTTTTATGTGTCTAGGGTGAGAAGGAAGACCACCAGGGTCTTCCTCAGCAGCCCTGGGATGGTCATACAGCCTGTGCACTTACATACCGCAGATAGAAGAAGACTCACTCCCTCACGAGGGGGTGAAGGGGAGATAGAAATGGAAGCAGCATAAAGTAAGGGGAGGCCGTGGGTCCAGGGGCCTGACCAAGATTTGAAGAACAGCAGAGGCAGTTGGGAGAGGGGTGTCCATTAACAGCCAGGCAGAAACAGGACAATCCACACATGCCACCAGCAGAGCCAGCCACCCCCATCCTTACCCCAGAGTCTCAGTCCTCACCTGAGTTGGAGATGAAATTCCTGACCTGCCTAGTAAATCCAGCCAGACAGGGCTGGGGGATGCCTGTGGCTGACCTAGGGCAGGGTGGGGATGTGCCAAGGATACAGGCTTCCTCGGTGTAGGGCACGGCGGCTGTGGTGCCCCCAATGATGTAGCTGTAGAAGGAGACCTCGAGGGTGTAGCAGTAGGAGGTGTGGTCCAGAAGCCCTCCAAGGAAGCGACGGCCTGTGCCTGCCTTCACTGCATCCCGGTTGAAGGATGTGCTGGACTGCGAGAGACAAGGGGGGGGGGGAGAGTGAGGCAGGACCCCACGGGAAGGCCCCCCGCAGGCAGGCCCCCCGCAGGCAGGCTATCATATTTTGAGCAAATCTTACAATATCTCTGGGCCTCAGCGTCCACATCTGACAAGTGGGACATTATTCCCACATCACAGGATTATTATGATGACAGATTAAATAAACAAACATCATTAAAATGAAAGCATCCATCAGCACTCCTGGGGCACAGTAACTGCCATTTAATAGATACAGGCGTGGGCAAAAGTAGGTTTACAGTTGTGCATATGTGAAACACTGATTTTGCCCACCCATGTTTGTGATATTTGAATGGGGACAGACCCAACAAGGAAAAGTGGACAGAGGACAAAAAGCCATTACATCGTGATGGTGATCAGAGCCAAAATTTGGGCAGCACTTTCAACTCCATCACATTGTTTCACTGTGGTATTATACCTAGGCTTCAACACAGCCCCCTGGGGTCGTGAATTAGTACAGCCGCCACAGACAATGACAAGGAGGCGCCTCAAAAAACTGAGAATGGAGCTGCCATATGATCTAATAATTCGTCTCCTGGGTATCTACTAGAAAATTTAAAAAATGCTTATTCCCAAAGATGTAAGTGCCCCTGTGTTTACTGCAGCATTATTTACAATAGATAAGATGAGGAAACAACCTAAGTTCTTCAACAGATGATCGGATAAAGAACAGGTGGTGCATACTCAACTATAAAAAAGGAGATATTGCCATTCACAGCAACACAGACAGATCTTGAGAGTATTGTACTGAGTGAAATAAGTCAGATGAAAAAGTACAAGAACTGTATGATTCCACTCATATGTAGGAAAAGCAACAAAGGAACAAACAAAACAAACAAAAAAAACCCAAACTCCTAGTATAGACAACAGCATGGTGTTTACCAGGAGGGAGGGAGGTGCAGGGTGGACAAAGAGGGTGAAGGAGACCAGAATTTGGGGGATGGGCACACAAGAGTGCTGCAGATATTGTATCATAAAGCTGTACACCTGAAATTTATATAATGTTAGTAAATAATGCAGTCCCCAATAAATTTCATGAAAAAAAATAACCCCTTGGTATAGGTGTTAGAGTTTTCCCCTCTAAGGTGAAGAATCAGGTTCAGACATGGAGCAAGTCGGTGACCCAGTGCCGATGTAGAGCCAGGGGTAAGTGACTGCAGAAACCGCAGCACTGCTCCATAACGCTGCCCGTCCATCAGGAATAGCTGTGCTCTCGTCCAGCACCACGGGAGAGTAGGGACTGTGGCTGCTTCTTCACTAGGGTGTGAGCCACACTCAGCACATCAGCCAGAGGAAGGAGCAAGCAGGCCAGTGTCTCAAGTCCTCTGTTCAAAGTATGTGGCACATTAGACAACTTGCCTTATTGGTCTCAGTCTTTGTTTCCTCATCTATAAAGTGGAGGTGGTAATAATATCTCTTTCACAGAGTTGTGAGGTTAGCTCACTTGAGGTTAGAAGGGAGTCTATGCTAGTCCATGGAAATCTAAGTCAACGGAGAGGCTGTGGTCTTAATAAGAGAATGTCTGTCTTATTCAGCAGGATATAAGAGAAGGAAAGAGGAAAAGGAAGATAGAGAAAGAAAACAGCAAAACAAGACAGAATGACATGGAAAGAAGCAGAGAACTGTGTGTGTGTGGAAGTAAAGGAAAGGATCAGAGAATCAGATACTATCAGATATGGAAGGACCAGCGAAGTCCACATAGTGAAATCCATCTCTCACTTTAGAGTTGAGCACTAAAGATCAGAGAAGAAGGGAAACAGAGACTGGACGCGGGTAGATGACCTCGACCCTGGCCTTGAGCTCTTAAAGTGGCTGCAATGCAGGAACATAATCAGGCAAGGCCAGAAAAAAAGCTCCCAGACCAGGGGTGTCAAAATCATTCTCACCAGGGGCCACAACAGCTTCACAGTTGCCTTCAAAGGGCAGAATGTGATTTCAGGACTGTATAAATGCAACTACTCCTTAACAGTTGAGCAAGAGCTCGGTGCTGCCGCCAGGTAGAAACAAGGTGCTGGGCCAGATAAAACAAGGTGGAGGCTGGATTCAGCCCACGGGCCTTGTGTTTGCCACCTGTGGTCTAGACCACGCCTCTTTTGTCTGCCTTGGGAAAATTTACCCCTGTGACAGTTTCTGCACCGATGGCCCAGCCTCCCGGGGAACCTGGACTCAGGAGACCACAGTCTGCTCTGGAACTGGAGTGGTTTCAAAAAGACAAGGGCTAACTGTCCTGCAGAGACTCCCACAGAAATGACAGTGGCTCTTTTTATCCTGGAACTGAAAACAGGGAGCCAGCTGTTTTGATTATACCACCAGATGCTGAGCAACTCTGCTGCAGATACTCGGCCCCTCTGGGCCACAGGTGTCTCTTAGACATAAAGAGGAAACTGGGCTAAATAAACTCCCAGTTCCTCTCGTGGCCTGGCATTCAAAGATTCTGCGATTCAATGTGCATCTTTCCTCATGGAGAAATTTATCATCTCCACTAATGCCCAGGCCTGAAGCAATGGGCAGGCGCATTTTCAGCTCATCGACTCCAAAAATTGCTCTGACCTTCGTGGGCCTTTCCCCTTCTGGCCACATGGAAATAACAGGCCTCAGAGGTTAAGTATCAAAACAAAGGAAAATGTGCAGTAACTCTCTCCCATGTCCCCGCACCACATGCTGACTCCTCTCCTTATCTTCTCTCCCTGTCCTTTTCCAATATTGCTTCTTGCTGCAAATTATGCTGGCTGCCAGCCCGCAGCCTCTCCAGTCCTCCTCGGCGTGGGAGGTGGGCAGTCACAACAGTTTCTGGGGTCTGCTGAGGTCTTTCCTGCCTGCAACGTACTTCCCTATCTATTACTGCATTTATCCTCCCAAGAAGCTATGATGCAGGCAGGGCAAGAAACTGTCACCCACAAATGACTGTCGAAGGAACTGAGGCACAGAAAGCATCATGGAGGAAGAGAAGGGTGGGTGTATAGCCCCCTTCAGCGGCCATGTTGGGCTCCTACTAGAGGAACTGACATAGGTGCAAACGGACCCGGGGGCAGGGTCTGGCAAATGGTGGTGCCTAGTTGCTCAGTGAGTTTCTTCTCTTGTTACTGCCGGAATCCTATCCACTAAACAAATGCCAGCTCCTCAGATAAAGCAGCGCTTACTGCCATTTCAAAGTCTCCCTCCTGACTGGTAATGAGCAGCTGGTAAGCGTGGCGTAGCTTGTTACCTCTGTCTTTATCATCCACGCGAGACCGGGCCCAGAGCTGGTGTTCCCTAAGTGTTCAACCAAACTGAACTGAGTGAGGAGACAGAGAAGGGGGCAAAGGGAGGGAGAGGGGCAGGGACAGGGTTGGGAGGGGAGCGGGGCCAGGCCAAAAGGAAGCCCTTGACGTACGTAGGAGAAGTCTTCGGCATTCTGGCAGAGGAGCTTGGGAAAAATGGCCTGCCTCTGGAACCGTTCTTCATCCTCAAAGATGTTGCCGTACATGAAGCCATTCATCATGGTGGAGTGGGCGTGGATGTCAATATAAAACTCCAGGCTTGTTTTCTGTTGAGAGAGAGGATAACAAATGAGAAGTTTGGGGTCACAGAGCTTTACCTTAAAGGGACCAGACAAATCACATGCTACATGCACACACACGCAGGTGCACACACCACATACACACACACTTTCTTTCAAGCTGGCCCTGTGTGTCAGCTGATGCAGCAGCCATTGGCAATGCCCTTGGAGGTGTTGAGATATGCAAGGATCCATTTTTCCTCACTTTGAGCACTATCTGCCCTCAGGGTCTGAGAGCACTACCATTCGCATTCTTCTTCAGAGTTCTTCTAAAGAAGTAAGGTTTTTGCTGGGTTCGTCCTGAACGGTTAATACATTTATGACTGAACACACTAGCAGCATTTCTTTTTCTGATTAGTTAGAACCACCTCCGGGTAACATCATTGTATTTACAGTGGGCCTGCTTGTGCTTTTGTCCTGCCTGGGCCATTTCTAGCTGACAGGGTCTGGAGTAAATCATGGCCCTACTTAGAGCCTCAGCTTTCTTATTTGAAAAGTGGTTATTTTAATTCCAGCCTCAGAGAGTTACAGGGGGAATTGAACACTGCAATAATCATTACTATCATTTACTGCATATTTAATGCATGCCAGGCACCATTCTAGGAGCCTTACCTATGACATCCTAGTTAATTCTTTTATTTAACCTTGTTTCACAGTGCCACACCTACTCCCCAAGAACATATAAATAGTGCATGGGGAAAAAACACCTTGCAATCTGTAAATATGATTGTTACTAGCCTTTCTCTGCTCTTTATTTACACATATGCAAGGCACTTCTTAGCTTGATCTGATATAATTTGTTAACACTCCCATCCACAAGCTCCCTGAAGACAAGGGGATTATCTGCAGAAAGCCCAGCACTGGCGCACAGAGAATGCTCAGGCGGTGCGTGCAGAATGACTGAACCAACAGCCCCAGTGAGGTTATTCCATACACAGTAATGGACTGGTAGGAACTGAGGGCTTTTTAGGTCCTTAGAGCCTCAATGTCCCTCAAATCCAACCTTGTCTTCTTGCGCATCAGTCCAAGTTATACCTATTCATCCTTCCTCATAGTGACAGAGGCCCCGAGTGGGGAAGAGACCTATCCAAGCTCATGGCATAACTAGGGCTGAACCCCAGGTCTCCAGACACCTAGCACAGTTAATTCATCATTGTCAATTATGGTGGAAACAGCCAAGGCAGGATCTGGCCACCTGTCTGCCCTGTTTGTAGCACGTGGTCCTGGGAAAGAAGAAAAGTCCACACTTAGAAGGATTCTCCCTCCTTGGGAGGCTTTCAAACCAAGTTAAAACCAAATGAAAACCATGTTGCTTCTCGAACATAGGCCTAACGGCTGCCATTTCATTTGCCTCAGAGTTGGAGGGAAGGGTTGCGTCTTGCCAAGCTCCCAGTTTTCTGGGTGGCATAAGCTGTCTTCTGAGACATATAAGATACACTTCTCTGTGTGATATTAAACTCATCATTTTCAGCTTTGGAGGTGGAATATTCAGTGATTCAACAGGAGCCCTATAAAAGTTGTCTTTGCAATTTTATTTTCTTCAATTGTCTCCCTCTTACTCTGAGCTTTTGATGAGCTGCGGAGGAAAGGAGGAGATAGAGAGATGTCTTGAGAAATGAGTAGGGAAAAACTGCATCTTTGAATGTGAGAGCTAGAGCGAGCCTTGACACCGGCTTCTCTCACCTTTCCCAGACCAGCCTGGAGTGGACAGGTTGCTGGCTTCAGGTTGGCCAGCCAGTTAGTGAAGGAGAAGAATTAGAAACTGGATCTTCTGATAGCCACTCGAAAGTGGCTTCCACTGCCTTATTCTGACACCTGGCACCTAATGTGGTTTAAATAATCTGTAGGTGAACTATATTGATTGATTTACATGGTGCAAAGTCAAAAGAAATAAAAGAAAGTATTTACAGTGAAAAACCTCCTTCTTCCCTGCTGTCCTCTGAACACCCAGCTTCACTCCCTAGAGGCGGCTCCTGCTACCAGGTGTCATGCATCCCTCCAGAGACAGTTTATACACAAAGAAGTAAACATCCCTCCCCCTTCCTCCCAACACACACAAACGGTAGCACACTAAACACATGACTCAGAGGGAAAAGAGCAGCTTTTTTCCCTCTTAACATATCTCAGTACATAAAAGTTACCTCATTCTTTTTTTTTTTAGATTAGCGAGAGGAGAAGGGAGAGAGAAAGGCAGGGAGAGAAAGATCAATCAGCTGCCTCTCTGGTGTCCCCAGTAGGGTACCTAGCCCGTATCCCAGGCATGTGCCCCGACCGGGAATCAAACCTGTGACCTTTTGATTCATAGGCTGGCATACAACCCACTAAGCCACACTAGCCAGGGCACCTCATTCTTTTTAACAGACACATATAAAGTATCTAACCAGTGCCCTGCTGATGGACATTTATTTCCAAACTTTTCCTGTTACAAACAATGTCTTAGTGATCGACACCATACATACCATATTTCACACATACAATTGTGTATAGGATAAATTTCTAGAAGTAGAACTTCTGGGTCCTCTGTCCATTTGCAATTCTGATCAATAATGACAGATTAACCTCCTTAGAAGGGACAGTTTGTACTCCCAGCAATGTATTACAATGTCTTACTGTCAATTACCTTGACAAGATGGGTGAAATCAATTTTTTTGGTATTTGCCAACTTGATGGGTGAAAATGACATCTCTGATTAGTTTTAACTTGAATTTCTCTTAGTATAATTATCGTTTATTATAGGGCTAACTAGCTTTTTATATAGTTAATAACTATTTGCATTTTCTTTTCTACAAATTGTCTGTTTATTCTTTGTCTATTTTAAAAATCGAGCTGCTGTGCTTTATTTGTTATTGATTTATAGAAACTTGATATTAGGAGAATTAGCTTTTATGTGCTGTTCAAAATGTTTCTGCTCAGTTTGTCACTGTTTTTGACTTTACTTCCACAAGTACTTTTTGCCATGCAGAAATATTTAAATGCTAATTTTTTATACAGATTTGTCAATCTTTTTTGGTTTCTGGATCAAATTTTCACTGTTTTTTATACTATTTTTATTGCTTCATTTTCCATATTTAAATATTTCCTTTTAATTTTTATTTATACAGTATAGGGTGTGAGGTAAGAATTAAACTTTATTGTTTGACACTATTAAATTGTATTTCCAGTAATTTGAAAAACCATTTTTACCATATAATTTTTTGTATGTATTTGAGTTTACTTTTGTACTTGTGGTCAGTTCTAATCATTTTTGTATTCGTGTATCAGTACTTTACAGTTTTAATTATGTTAAGATTATAATGTATTTTAACATTTGGAGGGCTAGTATCACCTCATTATGCTTCTTTCCCTAAATTTTTCTATATTTTATTACATATTTTTGTATGACCTTTATAGTTAGCTTCTTTGGTTTTTCCTGTTCCCCCAAATCCTGTCGATATTCTCAATATTTGTAATGTAATCATATCAGATTTTCATATTAATGTAGGAAGAATTGATTCTTATGACTAAGACTTCCAAGAATATGTTGTGACTTTCCATTCATTCAAGTTTTTTTGGGGGGGTGGGTACAGCAGGAAGTTTTTTAAGATTTTTTTTCCATATAAATCCTAGACAGTTCTTTGGATGCTCGGGCAGTTTATATTTTTAATTATGTGATGTTTCCTTCCATTAAGTCTTCTAACTGGTGGTTCTTTATAAATATAAAACCTCTTGTTTTAACACATTAAATTTTTACCCAGATACTTTACTAATTATATTATTATTTGTAATAATTACTTTTTTGAGCTTTTGTGATTTTCATTTGCTTTCTTATTCAAAAGACAATCACTGAGTACCTACTATGTGTCAGACAGTGTTCTAGGCCCTGGGGGTATGCATCAGGGAGTTTCTGGCCACTAAAGATAAAGCAGGAAACACAACAGGAAATTCCTGATCTCAAAGAGTTTACATTCTACAGAGAAGGAAGATAGCCTTGGCTGGCGTAGTTCAGTGGATTGAGCGAGGGCTGTGAACCAAAGGGTCGCTGGTTTGATTCCCAGTCAGGGAATCAATCAAACCCAGGGTTGCACATGCCTGGGTTGCAGGTCAGATCCCCAGTGCGGGATGTGCGAGAGACAACCACACATTGATGTTTCTTGCCTTCTCCTTTTCCTTCCCTTTCACTCTCTAAAAATAAATAAATAAAATCTTTTTTAAAGTTTCATGATTTAAAAAAAAAGAGAAGGACAATAAATCAGTTGGTAAATGTACAAGATGTCAGGAGGTACTAATGCCATGGAGACAGATAGGGAACAGAAAGGGAATAAAAAGTAATAGAGGTTCTGAAGATACAGAAACTCGAATGGAGTAGGAGAGTTACTCTCGAGGATGTCCGGTGGAAGAGTTCCCAGAAGAAGGAGAAAGAAATGCGAAAGCCAGATGCACTTGGCGTGTTTGAGGAACAGCAAGGAGGTGAGGACTCCGGGGAACCGGGAGTGAATAAAGGGGCATTATGCCCCAGGTTTGTAATATCATCACCCGTACACAGTAATTTTGCCTCTTCTTTTTCCATTTTTATGCTCCTAATTTTTTTTCATGTCTAACTGCCTTAGGTGATACCTCCAAAACAATGTTGAAGGATTAGTAGTTTATAAGATCCCTTCCCACTCTGAGATTCTAGGGGCTGAAATTAGAGTAAAAAAAAAAAGGTCTGAGAAACTTACCTGAATAGGATCTTAGTTTGAGTGCTAAGTTCTTTTTCTTCTTTATTACACATATTTAGCACATTTCTGGGAATGCCAAAGACCACCAACACCAATTCTAACAATATACTGATTATGTCTTGTGCCTAAACTGACTTTAGAGACACATATTGGCCCCATTACAATGCAGCATGGAAGGTAGACGCAGGGTTTCTAACTCTGGTTTTAATGCCAACAGGACTGTGGACAAGCAGCAACTCTTCTTCACTTTGCCTCCATTTCCTCATATTTATTTATTTATTAAAAACATTT